GCCTAATTATAAAATACAGTTGTGAACACTCAACCACTTCCTACTTCAAAGCTCAAAATGACAACTGTAGGGACGAATCTACATGTTTTTTTTTCCCAGTGTTAAGGAAGGAACCAGCTAACCAAATTTGTGTACATCTGTTTTGCAGTTATGTACTTGTAAATAAGATACCAGTTAATTTGGTTTGTCTATACTTGTACATATATTTTAGCAACTTGCCTTTTTCACTTACAGTTCAATATTCACCCATGTGGATGCATGAGTCTATAACTCATGTGCTGCTGCTGACTGATAACTCATAAAAGACATCAGGGTGGTTTTTCTAGATGCACATTAGTAAAAGAGCTATACAGCTGTTCCAAAAGGAAATCTTGGATTACAGAATAGAGAATGCTCAATTTTGCAAGAAAATGCCAGTGCAAAAATTTGATATCTCAATTTATCCTTCTCACTAGCATCAGACAGGATGTCCACATGATCTACATCCTTTCAATACCAAGTTCTGTCAGGCATTTTAGTTTTTCAGACCTAGTTATAAAATGGAATCTCAGTGTAGTCTTAGAATACTAAGGAGATTGAATTCTTCTGAAGTTTAATAATCATTCTTGTCAATATTTCTGTGATATACCTATGTGTCTTCTGTCCGCTTGTAGGAGCTCTTTACATATGCTGGGTTATAATACTTTACAGGCCATTAAGTATGACAAATATTTTCCCACTCTGTGATTTGTCTGTTCACATTTTTTATTGGTGCCTTTTGCTAAAGAAAATGTCTTAGTTTTAATCTGGTCATCTTTATTTTAGAGTTAACATTTTTGTGTGCATTTAAATGAAAGCACACTTTCTATCAAAGTTATAAAGCTATTCTCCCTACACTATCTACTGGGAGTTATTTTAAGCTGAAACTGATTTTTCCATATCTAGTACCAAGGATCCAACTACATTCTTCTGGTATCACACTTTGCCCAGGGATGTCAACATCCACCTCCGTCAGACAGCAACTCCCACAGGTCTATTTTTGGCAGCTCTTCTGTCCCACTGGCCAATTTGTGTTTCCCTGAATCAACCAGAATACCATGATACTGGCAGGACACATGCTCACTTCCTAGTACCCTTCCAAATGTCCTAACAGTATCAGGACTTTATCCTTTCAAACATTCTAGAACTGATTTGTCATATTTCCCAAAAACCTAAAGATATACCACATCCACAGATTAACATGAAAGAACAGACTTTACCATATTTAGTTTTCTATGCAAGAATACTCTCTATTCACTCATCTTTAATGAATCAAAAAAGTTGTAGACTTTCTCCACTAAAAATTTTACTAACTTTTTTTGTTCATTCCCATTTGTATCAAAGATGACTCCATTGGGAGAACAGAAACATTCCTTGGTATTCCAAACACACAGGGACTTTACACAGGGAATTAGGTACTTTTAAAATAACTGGGAAGTTTTAGAGTGTGAACAAAAATTAAAATGAGCCACTCTGGCAAGTCAGTTTCACTTCCACAATTGTAGGAAAAGAGTCCAAAGCCCAATCTTACCATGCATCTGTGAAGAAAATGCAGAAAGCTGCCAGTATCACAGCTGCTCTGCAACCCTGAAATGGCAGGACAGTGGAGGCCAAGGCGAATACGCAGCTTAGCCTAAGCCCCTTCAGCCTCCCAAGTTTCTAGGAATGATCTCATGCACTAAACAGTACCTACAACTATGGGGCAGGATGTGTGTGTCTTTTATAGCTCCACCCTAAAATGCAGAGAATGGTTCTGGATCCCAAGACTGTAAGACACCATCCATTTTCTACTTCTAAAAACATGTTAAAATCACTGGTATCCTGTTAATCTTGTCCCATTTTCTTTATCTCTGTGATTTTATACCTTTCATGTTCATTTACTACAATGAAAAAATCTGCAGACACTCCAGAAGTTCTAAGTCCATGTTCAAGAGCAACCAGACCAAGCATGGCTACGGTTTCCTACCTCTGCTCTCACATAGAAAGCATCCTCTCACATATAAAAGAAAGGTGTTTTAACAGCTAACAACATCTGCAGACACTCCTTGCACACAAAATATTTTTCTTTCTTTCTTTCTTTTTTTCTTTTTTTTTGTGATGGAGGAAAGGTAATGAGATCTTAAACTACATTCATAATTTAAAAAAATTACTTTTGGGCCCTCCCTGGTGGCACAGCGGGTTCCCTACTCTGTTCCTGGTGAATC